ATGATTTTATTATTCTTTTTTACGGGGCATAAAAACATTAAAACAACGAATTTTTAATTTGGATATGAGTGAATTTGTAAATGTTCAACTTAATTTCTATTTCTATTTAAATGGTCATAGCTTGGAAGAGATTAAGAATGAATAATATCCGTATCGGTTATCTTCACTTGTGCGGTACACAACTATTTCAACTACAGCTTCTTCTTCTTCTTCTTTTATTTTTCTCTTCTTTCTCAAGTAGGTAAATTGTGTGGTACTCACAAAAAATGTTCAAGGTATTGTATATTAAAAATTTTAACTAATAACATTTAAATATGTGTTTAAATAATAAATTTATTTAATAATAAATTATTATATTTGAATTACTTAAAGAGTATTTAAATTAAAATTAAATAAATTAAAATTTAAAAATAAAATAATAATATTATATTAATATATTTTTTATATTCTTAATTTTATTATTAGTAATATTTAATTATTAAATTAATATATTGTTTATAATTTTTTATTTATAATAAATAAATAAATAATATTTAAATATAAATTATATTTATTTAAAACTAAAAATTTATAAAAAATTTAATATACAATATATATATAATAAAACTATGTAGCAAATAATATAAATAATATAATTTTAAATAAATTATATATAATAATATTTTTTTAACTTGACGCATGTTTTATTTTTATTAGTATAAATATTTTAAGTATGATAATCGTACAAAAGTTTTAGGATATCACATCACACATGTTTCAAATATACAACAAAAGGTTATTAATATAAGAAAGTTTTTCAGTGTGACAATTTAATTTTAAAAACATTTTTTTAATTACAGTTTAATTTTCAAATTGGGTGAGTTTTACATGCAACAAATAGTTGATTTAACAAAACACCCCACCTTTTTTAGAAGTACGAATATATAAGATTTGGACACTGTCAAAGTTTTGAATCTAGATTCTCTATAGTTTTTTAGGAAATTGTAACTTGCAATTTAAATTCACTCGAGCAAAATAAATTTTGCTTTTGGTTGAGTAAATTTAGCAAAAGTGAAGCCAAAATTATAAAAAAAATTTAAAACTTTATCTTCTTTCTCTTTAAACTACATAAAAGTTTAGAAATATTTGTGTAAAATTATGTAATTACACTTTATGGTCATCAGAACGTTAAGTGTTTCAAAACATGTAATAATATAACTATTTCTCAACAAATTTCTCAAAATTATAATTTATATAATTCCTATCATCATTCTCAACAATTTTACTTGATTTTAAATGATTTTACATAACTAATATTTAGCACACTAAATAATATATTTGAAAATATTTGTGCAAGATCATGTGGTCACACCATGAAAATTTAAGTGTTTTAAAACATGTAATAATATAATTATTTCTCAACCAATTTCTTAAAATTATCATTCTTATAATCCTTATCATCATTCTCAACAATTTAACTTGATTCCAAATGGTTATCTACCTTATTAATGTTTAGCAAAAGCGGCATACTAAACAATATATTTGGAATATTTTTTAGTGGGATGAAATATATAAGATTCTTTGCTAACTAGGTAGTCATTAATGATAAACAAAAGTTCTTCAAATTTTTTGTAGTTTAAAAAGAAAGAAGATAAAGTTTTGAAATTTTTCGCAATTTTAACTTAAGCTAATTTTTTGGCTTAAGCAAAAATCACTTTTTGACTAATTTTGCTTAAACAAATTTTTTTGATTTAAACCAAAATCACTTTTTACTAAATTCACTTAAGCAAATTTTATTTTGTTTAAACGAATTTAAACTATAAACTGCATTTCTTTCCAAAATTACAGATGATTCAGATTCTAAATTTTTTAGATGATGTAAGCTTTTTAATTGTAAGTGCTTTTAAAGGAGTTAAATTGTGACTTTTTTGAAAAAAAAAATATCGATAATGTATAAGTTGATATGATTTATATAAAAAGTTTAATTCATTTAATATTCTTTGCTGATAAATATTTATTAAAAATTCATCTAAATTGATTTTGTCTGAAAAAAAATAATGTTATTTAATAAAAAAGTTTTGTGTAAAAGTCATTACGATAGTGATACATCCTATGAACATTAAAGAAAGTAAACATGCAAGGGCAAATATATTTAAAGAGTTCAACGGTAATTGATAATTCATTATTTTTATTAGAGTAATAAATATAGTTAAAAAGTTTCACGCCAAATAAAAAAAATAATCAATATATAAATAATAATAACTCACGTACTTTATAGTTTAAAATTTCGGATTAGATGTGATGTTAAATTAACTTGTAAAATTTTCCTACAGCCATTAATAAAAGTCTTTTGAATGTTTTTGCCTAACTCTTATATCTATTTGATAAATTAATAGAATAAAAATATTAAAACATTCTTAAGACTTCTAAATATTTAATAAATAATAATTTTTCCAATTACAATAGGTTTTTCAATAATCAAAGATAATAGTCTAGTGAGACTCTAAAATGTTGAAATTGAATTCACGAGTGCTGTTGGCAATTTTATATAGTTTTCACAAGAAAGTTTACATCATGCTTCTTAAAATCGGACCATTATATTTTATCTTGTAAAATTAACACGTTTTAATATATATTACAATTTTGTGTTTGAATATAATAAAAATTAATTTAATATAATAAAATATTTAATTTATAAAAAACATGTTAATTTATTATATTAATTTTTAATTCAATATTATATATATTCAATTGAACTAATTTTAAAAACTTCGATTTATATCAATTAATTTATATGTTTTTCTTAATTAGTATTTCAATAATATGAATTAAAATATTAAATATTTCTTATGAAATATTTTTATTATTTAAAGTTTTTAATGTTTTAAATTTATGTTGTTTGTATTTTAAAGACATTTGTTGATAAAATATATTTTGTTGTACCAAATATTTTATTTTTTCAAGGCAGGCCTTAAGCAAGTTTTTTTTTTTCAAAATATAATAATAATAATAATAAAGAAAAAGAAAAAGGAAATGGCTTTTATGATTCAATGTTAAAAACTGTTGCCTTTGATAGATGAAAATGATTGATGATGAATAAAAATGAGGGACGCGATGCGATGCTTATGCAGCCGTAGACGACATTTTGCATAAAAGATTTCCACAAAATGATTGTTAATTTCTTATGGTAATGAAAGGAATCGTGTTTATGCAGTGACGCAATCAAATGCTAGTGACCCAAATTCTTGACCACCATACACTACTATCCATGAAAGTGGTAATGGAATAAGTGCATGCCGCTGTCTTCTTTTCTTTACTTCTTTTCCCCTTTCGTATTCCTTTAAAACCCAAACATTTCTCCATTCCTTTTCTACCGCTCCCTTGGATTCTACTCTATCTCCAACACTATCTCTATCTCTCTTTTTCATTTTATGGATCATCTTCTCTCATTAATCTATGCGGATAAACACACAGAACCCACAATTGACTCTCAAAGTCAAATAACTATGCATGCAACTCACTATTTGGGTGGTTCCTCAAGACTTCTCATTGCCCATTCCCCACGAAGACGAAATCTTTTTCTATGGTAACTTGAGATTCAAGAGGATATTTTAAGGTAAATATATAATATTATAAAAAGAAAAAATCATCATTAATTAACTTGAATTATGAATGTATATACGTTATTACATCATTGGACCCTCACGATGGTTTACGAAGCTGGCGAGGGTTCATACATGAGTTGTGAGGAGAGGACGTGGCATTTTCCTTCCTCACGTGGCAGTGTTTCCACGTGGAAGCATCCAAGGCAACTGACCTGGCCGACATGGTGGGTGCAAACACGTGCTTGTCACGTGACGTGTACGGGACAGAACACGTGGCCAAAAAGCGTCGATGAGTTGGATCAGTGAAAAAACACAATGGGAACGGGACATACCCATTTCCCATACATAACGGCTAAAAAGCAAAAAGAGAACGAAAGATAAGTTTATACTTATCTTCTGTGTTATCCACGACACATCGCGTGGATGAAATGAGAATTCAAAATAAAGCCAACAAAATGTTTAATTTTGTATATAAGTATAATTAAAAGAAAGTAATTAGTATTAATTAAAATTGAATAGTGCTTTGTTTGTTATATCTGGGCTCTACACACAGTACTGTTTCTCATTTTTATACTAGTTTGTGTTAACATTGTTGTAAATTTATATCTACGGTTTGGCTCCTCGGAATGAGCTTGTGTAATCTTTATTTGTTAAATGTATCCATCCATTGTAACTCTAGGAGACATGCATGTACTTTTGTTTGAATTTAATTGTATTTTATCTTGCACATGTTAGTTGAGTAGAAAAATAGATGACAAACTTTTGATTTTATTCTTTTTTAATTTAGTCCTCGAATATCATTTTACGCACACTAGTTTTATCCAATTTTATAGTGTTTTTTTAATTAATATTTATATTAGTTCATAAACAAATATTTTAAATAACTAAATTACAAAAAATGAAGATGAGTATAAACATTTGAATATCTAATAAATATAAAAAAAATCAAAAGTTATTATTTAATTGTAGGTGTTGTGTATCACTAACCAAATAGAAACGTGAAAAAGGAAAGTGAAACATTTAAGATGAGTTATGAGTAGGATATGCATAAAGGGGGTTTGAAATTTTGGATAATTTGGTTGAGGAAAAAAAGTAAAATTATGATTATGTAAGTAGAAGAAAAGGGAATGGCGCAATTGGGCGTTGGAGTGGGATTCGAAAAGAAAAGAGCCAAAATGGGAAGGATTCTAGTCTGACGTCGCATGGTGCGGAGTGATTGGGTGTTGATTAGGTTCTTAGAAGGTCCAACTTCAACGACTCAATTGTTGCATTCCAATTTCCAAACACAAACACAAAGTCTCTTCTCCTTCAACTTCCTTTCTTGTCCTTTTTACGGTGTGGATAAGCTCCATGTGCTGCTCCACTTCCTCCATCACATGTTTATATAATATTAAATTTCAAATAAACGGTATTCCACACCGCCGCTACTTTCAAATTCCTTGTTCTTCTTCGTGTCCGATTCCATCCCAACCCCGGTCCACACGTCTTTCTCTCTCTTCTCCGTATAAATACACCTTTCATCTTCCTTCCCCTCTTCACACCCCAATTCCATCATACTATTTCACTCATTCACAACAACAATGGTTGATTTATATTGGAAATCGAAGATGATGGCTTCCAACGTCTCCCCCAAACTCTCTCTCCCGGATAAACCAAAACCCCACCTTTCTTTCCCCACCTTGCAACGCACAAACGACATCACCACAACGTCCTCCCATGTTTGCGCTGCATACGACAACTACCTTCGCCTTCCTCAGCTTAGAAACCTCTGGGACTCCAACCACTTCCCCGATTGGCCCAACGAGCCCATCTTAAAGCCCGCCTTCCACGCTTTAGAAATCACGTTTCGCTTCCTCGCAACCGTTTTGTCTGACCCAAGACCCTACCCCAACCGGCGCGAGTGGACTCGGCGGGTCGAGTCGCTCGCCAAGGCCCAGGTCCAAATCATCGCCATGCTCTGCGAAGACGAGGAACAGAACCCCGAGAAACGTGGCAAGGCACCGGTTTGTGACGTCAATGGGATCACCACCCAGAGCAGAAGCTACAGCCATGAAAGCTTGCTTCCCCGTCTCGCCACGTGGCAAAAATCGAAGCACTTGGCGCAGAGGATCCTTTCCACCGTGGAATGCGAGATGATGAGGTGTTCGTACACGTTGGGTCTGGGAGAGACCAATTTTGCGGGAAAGCCGGTTCTCCGTTACGATGCCGTTTGCAGGCCGAACGAGATTCACTCGCTGGAGACGACACCATTTGATCACGTGGAGAATTACGAGAACCGTACGATGCACGCGACGCACCAGATCGTGGAGTCGTGGATACGCGCCTTGCGGGGGTTGTTGGAGAGGGTGACGGAGTCGGTGGAGAGTGGAAGGTTGGAGAAGGCGGCGGGTGAGTGTCACGCGGTGGAGCGGATCTGGAAGTTGGTGGCGGAGGTGGAGGAGATGCATGTGATGATGGATCCGGATGATTTGTTGAGATTGAAGAAGCAGGTGGGGATGAGATCGTGGAAAGAAACGATGGCGTTTTGCTTGAGATCGAAGGAACTGGTGGAGGTGACGAAGATGTGTAGGGATTTGAGGGAGAAGGTGCCGGAGATATTGGAGGTGGAGGTGGACCCCAAGGGTGGGCCTGGGATGGTGGAAGCGGCGATGAAGGTGTACGCGGAGAAGAGGAGTGGGTTCGAGAGGGTTCATGTGTTGCAGGCCATGCAGGGGATTGAGATTGCGATGAAGAGTTTCTTCTACGCTTACAAGCAGGTTGTGACAGTGGTGATGGGAAGCTCTGAGGGGAATGCGAATTCCTTGAGTCAGATATTCCTTGAACCCACCTATTTCCCTAGCTTGGATGCCGCCAAGACCTTTCTCGGTTATTATTGGGAAAATCATCAATATCCCATTTCTTTCTAGTTAATTCAATTCAATTCATACTCAATCATACACCAACACAAAGTAAAAATTAAAAAAAAAAATCATTTTTTTAGGGGGAGGGAGGGGGTTTATGGATTAAATTTTGTAACTGGTTGTTGTAATGTAAACAATCTTTGTGTGTAAAATATTTGACTATTTTTTGGATCATATACTTCCCCATGGTTATTTATCTCTGTTTTAAATTCTGATCCCCACATTTGAATTTCCAAAGGGCTTACATTTTGTTATGGATATTAGGGAATATAAACAGAACTGTGATCGAGGACCACGTAAATAATTCAAATGCAGTAACGAGTGTGTGAAATTGAGGTGTCGATAACTAATACTCCAAAAATGTTTGATGATAGGAAAACAAATTGAACCCCAAATGCCTCTACCGATTTACAATAAAGTTTAACATAAAAAACGATAAAGGGCCAGGATGATCCTTGGTTTAACTTTTCTGTTTATTGAATAACGAATTAAAATGATTCACTTAATGTGTTCCTACTCGGAGAGAATTCCAGTAATCATTTCTCAGCGTACGTCCCAATTGTGAACCTGCCATAGGTTCTAGTTTGATTGTATTCTAGCCTTGTGATGTTAGAGATTGTGGCCTGTGCATGGTTGCGAATTTCGACCTTGTCTGTGCTGTTAAAGAAAAAGGTGCTGACAGTTTCCAATGAATTTTTTCAACCACTATAATCAGTCAGTGGGCACAAGCAATCTAGCATATTTGGTGAGGCGTGATTGGTTTATGAGAAAGGAGGACTCGAACAACAAAGAATTGGGGGAAGGAAGAAGAATCTTCGGATACAGATACAAGTCAAATATGGCTGGTGAATACCTTGGACAGAAGACAATCAATTTCGCAACCCTTCTAGAGAACAAAGCTAACTAGATCTTCAGATTTTATATGTTCGGTGAGATGATCTTCCAACAAATCTTTTTCTATAAATTAAGTTATTTGAGTAGATGATAAGTATCAATTATTTTGATAAATATAAATTATACATATTTTATGAGAAGGTAACCTCTCATTTGCCCACCAACCAAAATAATGTACTGTTAACACATGTACTGTGAATATAAATTTTTTGCAATTTTGACACAGATTATGAATATAAATTTATATTTGTTTAACCAAAAACAGAGCTCTTTTTAAAATTTTAAGAAAAAAATGTATACTCGCTAGTGAAAAAACAAATATTTATTAAACGAATTAGTGGGCGGTTGTGTTGCTGGAAAAATGCGTTGGAATGGACGGTGTGATAAGCTCAACTACAAATTGAAAGAAGAATGGGTCCGTAATTCTCTTCCAGTCTACAGTCCATAATCTAGAACGTAACTAAAATAAAATTAAGAAAATGGTCAAACACAGATTATGGTAAAGCTAATCCAGCAGGAAAGGAAAATGAGAACAGGTCAACAATTTCTACTATTTTGCTGTTAAATAATCTCTCTTTGATTTATCCTTCCAATTAGAACTTTTTACCAATCCATTTTTTTTTGCCTGCTTGGTACGAATTCAACATATGATTACGAATATGATAGAACAATCAACTATGCGTGTATTGCCTGTTTCAAATCTATATTCAACTGCTGAAATCTCCTCTCTTTTTCCTTAAATAAAGTTTATTATATTTCTTTGACATGGAGCCACATATCTTAAGGCCTATCCAGGGTATGTTCCCCCTAATCACACGTTGCATGGCCACAGTGAATTATGAAATTTCATGGGCTTTTGTTATAAACAGCATTACTCTAAAGATTGAGTGCCACTAAAGATAAGTGGGCTTTAGAAGCTTTTATAAAATTTTGACCTCCACAGGCTTGCTGTATAATAATATTGGGCTAACTAGATTTTGAGATTACACTTGGCTCTTTGCTTTTTATTTAGCTTTTATTGCAAGAGCTTCTGTCATTGTCTGTTAAACATAAAATATATTGCACACACTTGGTCGATGAAAGAAAGAGAGGAGTAGAAAAGGATAAGTTGCAACAAAATCACTGTGAGGATTACATTCTTGAAAGGAAAATGTTTTGATGTGTCTACCTCTTAAGATAGAAAATAATTAAAAAGAGAAATAATAAATGTAATGGATGTTGAATGATATGATATATTAAAAAATTAAAAAAATAAAAATATTAATTAAGTTATAATACTCTGTGAATGTTTATAAATTATAAAAAAAACTTTTTTACATTAGTATAAATTAAAAAAAAAATATACTTAATTTGAACTATTTATTTAATTTACATCTAATAATAAATAAAATAACATATTAGATGTAAGTTAAATAAAAAATATAGATTAAATATAAAAAAATTTAAATTTATACTGGCTTAAAAAATCATACTCTATATTATAGTACTCTTTAAAATGAATACAATGTCACAAGGATTATGATCCTTTCGCAGTACAACTATAGTATGGACGCACTTTGAAGAGATTAAAAACTAAAGTTTCATAATCTCAAAATATATGAATTTATCCTTTGTGCCTATATCCAAAAAACTGAACTATTGGTCATCCAAATCCACTTATTGGAGAAAAAATCTGGTGTTATTTACACGTTCGAAGTGATATAAAGCATGTAACTCGCATCGCTATTGGGATCACGAACCACTCAACTGAAAAGAGCATGATCCACCAATCAATCAATATCAAGAGAAAATCCATTCAAAGCTAATTAAAAAATTAAACAAATATCTTCCAACTTTATCTCATTGCCACGTAAACTAGGCCCCCGTGTTATCCACTCCACTCTTCTACTCATCAAAACCCTCCTACGGCTTATCAAACTTTTTCAGTAAAAAAAAACATCCTCTTCTGTTGCCATCTGTTATCATCGGGTTTTGGCACACAACATTCTTGAACTCTCACGAACCAGCTTCTTCAGCTTATTTCGGTCTCAACTGCACACATATCTTTCTTTTCAGCTTGAACGAACTTCTTAACTCTTTGACTTTGCACCCAAACCCCTGAAAACTTATGCAATCTACCTTACTCAAATCCTGCCATACCCCTTTTATATTATGATTTTTACACTCTCTTTCACCAAAAAAGGATCGTTTTTTCTTTACCCCTTTTGGTCGGTGTCTTTCTATTCATAATAAATTGCGGTGATCTGATTGTGTTATTAATACAGAAAAAGAAAGACTGTGTGTACAACACGTTATTTACTTCACGGGTTTTCCGTGATTTTGATTATTTTCTATTTGGGTTTAATGATGATTCCCTTTTAGGAGGTATAGTTTTTTTTGTTCAGTGTATTCATTGTTTCTGTGATCTCTGGAAGAACTTGGTGATCGAAGATGGGTTCAAGAGTCTCTCCCAATGTTAAATGTTGGCAGTTCAGAACCCCTTATTGTTCTACCTGTGATTCCTTGAAGACACCACGTGCTGTTCCTTCTTCGCTATTGAGACATGCCAGTGAGAGGAACAATGCCATCATGCCATGCGGCTTGGTTCATAGGTCAACCTTCTCTGGCTCAAGGAGTTTGAAGGTGCAAAGAGGAAAACGTGCCTATTCTGCACTTTTTGATGACTTCCACCATGAAGAAATGATGAATCCGGTTCAGGATAGTGGTGGTGATGAAAATGGCAATGGAATTGCTTATGTTGTGTCTGGTAAAACCCAAAACAAACAACTCAAAATTAGAGGTTCCTCTGAGGAAAGTTGGGCAATGAAGCCTGATGTTTTGGAGCCTTCTCTTTTGGGAATAGAACCAGAACCACCAAGCTGGCCAGAAAGAGATGAAATTTTGAAACTGAGGTTTGAAAGGAAAGTGAACAGTGTGGAAATCCCTTTGTCAATTCGTATGATCAAGAAGAAGCTGCAATTGGAGGATGGTATTAAAGAGGCAGGTGAATTGACTAACTCTTCTGTGAAGAAGACCTTCTCTTCTATGTTGTTTATCATGCACGAGCTTCAAAATCATGCTTTGCAAACAAGAGAGAGCCTGTGCTGTGAAGACTTGCAAAGTGTCATGGCCAAGCTGAGGAGAGAAATGGATGCTTCTTTTGTGTGGCTCTTTCAGCAGGTTTTCTGTAAGACACCAACTCTCATGGTCCATGTGATGGTCCTCCTAGCTAACTTCTCCGTGTTCTCTATGGACAACAACACTGTTAAAGCAGTCACTCCTTCATCTATGATCACCACTGCTCTATATTTGACCAACAATGAGAGTAAACTACGACATTCACAAGTTGATGCTGATTTTGATCAAGGTGAGTATGTAAAGGAGGAGTTGACAGAAGAGGAGGAAATGTTGTGGAAGTCCATGCTAGAAGAGGCTTCAATATTGGAAAAGGAATTGAAGAGTGAAGTTTTGGACCATGAGACAATCCAACGGTTAGTAGCCCCCGTGTCTGTGGAGCTTGAAGGGGATCAATACGAGGAATATGTCAAAACTGAGCTTCATTACAAAAAACATTTACTCCGGACACCTCACAGTTCCCTTTTGCTGTCTAATTATGCACAGTTTCTATTCCTTGTCCTTCATGACATTGATGGGTGAGTTCTCAAAAACAAATTATGTGATAAAATGTAGCTAGCATCAGACGATGCTGCATTCTTAGTTATCCTTCAGATTAGCGAGAAAGAGCAAAAGAGCGTTAGGTAAGAATCATGTTGATTGTTTAATCACTGGAGCTCAATTGACTCTTTTTGAGTGGATTGACATTTTGCAATATTGACAGACAGTCAGATTAAAAAGTGTTACCTCTTAATAGGTGAAAGCATTTGGCAAAAAATGTGTATGCATTCTTCTTTAAACCCTGTGGAGTCTACAAGGTGTTGTTTTGCTGAGATATTTTTTCCTTTCCTTATACATTTGATATGGGTTTGCAGGTCAGAAGAGTACTACAAGCGTTCAGTGCTGGTGGAGTCACCTGAGGCTGAGGCATTCAGTCGCTATGCTGACTTCTTGTTGATGGTAAGAAAGGATGTTTGGGCAGCAGAACTGAGATATATGCAAGCATTGGAAGCAGATCCTGGCAACACTTATTATTTATCTAAGTACGCCAGTTTCCTTTGGAACACCGGTGGACAAGATACTACTAGCTTTCCTTTAGAAGAATTGGGCAACTTACAACTATGACATTGTCCATATGATCCATCATAGTCGAGTGAAGGTACTTTTTGGTTTTTCCTGGATAGTTGTTACTCCAGTTAGTTTCTTTTTTTCCTAATATCAATTAGTAATTAATGGAACAACTATCTTTGTTTATATATAAAAGTGAAGATGTGTCTACCCTGAATGATGATATCAGCTCAAAATTATGTTCGTGAATAGTGCCAACTCTACCTTGGAACTCGATAAGTCCCATCCAAATTACATTGCTTTATCGACCTGTTTAGTGTTTACAGTCCCGCTGATGCGACTTCGTTACTTAACTATGGATCCATTAACATTAGCTATATGTAGCATATTTTTATAAAATTTGAAGGAGACAATCTCTCCATCACTAAACTTAAAACTAGATACGTTATAAACACTTTATTTTTAACTTTTATAAATCAAAGCACTAAACAAGACAATTTCTTGTATGTAATATTTTTTGTTGGTGAAGCATGTGTAATTAGATCTCCTGACTTATATCGTTCAACAATTATATGGCACATGCTAACGAAACTACTTGCCTCAAATTCATAAACTACCTCAAAACTATATTATTTTGCTTGATTAAGTACTCACTTTGCAATCATTACCCTTTCTTTGGGAAATTTTGTTTCAACAACTATCAACAATTTGCTATGGTGCTATTCTTTTGCGTTCTATGGAGTCATGCCACTAACTCATTCCATTGTGAATGCCATTTTCATTCTTCTGACACTAACGTAATCGATTGGGCTAGTAGACGATTAATAAAAATTATACGGCGAACCCAGGCAAGCCCCAACTATCCAAATGATAATAATAAAGACAGCAGATCCAGTGAAGAGCCGTATAACAGATGGAGCTTCTACGGTGTAATGCCTCTTTAATATTCTACAATCAAATTCGTAATATTCTGAGAAAAAAGCACCAAAGGATGCTGCCTTGTATTACATGACAATAATACAAGAAATCAACCTAAGGAATTTGCTCAATTAGGGGCAAAATGCATGAATTGTGTATAAGATCCAATATTATACAGCACTGTGACTAACGTGAATGGAGTAACTCAGCTAGCTACTAATTGACGTAGTGGAATTTCTAAAAAAGCAATGATCAAAATTCCAGCGTCACCAAAACCAGATATTGCGGCTATCCACAGCCTTAACTGTCGTGGATACCAAGGGCATCCGCCCAAACACGACAGCAAATTTGTTGACGCATTCTGTTCTTCTTTTACTGTGACCTCCCAAACTACTGATTCCAGTAGATCCAATCTCAAAAATTTTACCTGTATTAACAAACAATGACAAAATAGATGAAGTTTACATATACATACATACACATATATATAATGTTGGTATTACATCAAGATGGTAAAACTAATGCGTGCAATCTTGAATTTGTATTACCGTGACTAGACAACATAAAAACAAGCATTGCGATAGAACTTCACAAACAGCAGTGTACTGGCATGGGTTTCAAAAATAAGTCTTGTGGTCAAACACAAAATGAGTCATCATATTTTTCCAATGATCGCCAAGAGAAACTGAAAGCATACTATAATGATTTCATAGCTAGGCTTTCAATTGACAATTATGTTGATAGAAAGGAACAAAATATCAACCCTATAGTTAATAAGATATGCATGTAAGTAAGCATCAATCCGTTTAGTTTTAGACCTTACAAAATCTTTAATTTTGCAAGTTGTCATTTACTTTAGTTAATTTTGGTACGAAAACAACAATGAATAATAAAATAAAAAAGGACTAAAATCAATGATTTTTTACAGTCTCAAGAACTAAAGTGAAGATTTTAAAAAAAGTTTAAAAATTATAGCGACTGCAGCTTACAATCTCATAGACTAGCATGAAAGTTTATACACGTGTTCTAATGAGTTGGAAATAATTTCTGTATCAGTTTTAGCTGAGTTAGCACATCGTGGTATTCTTTCACACTATACAGGGTGTAAATACACCATCTACAATATGACTGGGAAAAGGGAGCGCAGAGGGTAAGAAGGCCTAATTTCACTGAATATCTGTAGTACAGCTGCTTCCTTTTACCAATTATATATCTCTTTATGCATGCTAACAAGATATCATATACCCAGATACCATCGCAAGTGAAAAAGAGAAGAGAGAGGCAAAACCTCTAAATGAACACAAAAAAACTACAAACTAGTTCAAGCAGTCAATAAGTAGCATAAATCTGCATTGGTTTTAAGTTTATTTTAACATACTAAACAATTACATATATCATTTATTGGCTTCCCAGACACAAACCAATTTTACAAAACGTCAAGAAGTTCATGAATCCCTAAATGGGATAACTTTATCATTAAAGATCAGTCACTAGTAAACAAAGGCATTATGCATTTGGAGCAGTAAAGAAAATGAAATTCTGAACTAAACAAGCAAAAAGGAAAAAAAATCATGCAATTCCTATTGGTTATAAGATATGGCACTGATTCAATGCTATCAGTACAAGGGGGAAAAAAACTCAAAAAATCAAATATGTTTATTACAAATCAATTACCTTTAACCCATATGGGGGGTGCACCAGTTGCATTTGCAACAAGGAAAGACATTGCAATATCTTCACAATTCCTGGTAAATCAATTGAATTATTGAGAAAATGACAAAAACTTTGGAATCAAAGTTTGGGAGATCAAATATAGTTGAAAAGGAAGGTAATAAATAGTTAGCCCAGAAAAAAACCTGTTCTTGGTTACATATTCTCTAATTGAGGATGGCATCTCATTTGTGTAGATATTGAAATACTTTTTGTGAAAGAATGCTGCCTTGGAGAGGACCATGCTATATGTACCAGTCCACCACACAGACCACCATCCGCCATAACTAAATTTGTTGTCATCACCTTTCTGCAAAAACATTGAATAAGTTGAGAAGTTAGCCTTTTAAGATTTTCATATTTTTCCTGTCACAGCACTAAACTTAGGAAAAGTAATGAAGGAAACCTAAACGATTGCAGAATTATAGATCAAACATCACATTCATCATTAAAGTTCACATCAAGTTTAAAGATGCATCAAAAAAGTTAGCAGCTTCTTGAAGATCGATTAAAGATCAACAGAAAAAATTCATTTTTCTAGGATAGAAGTTCAGCTTTCTTTTCCCTGAACTTAGATCCTCAGCAAAATCATATAACAGGTCTCCAGTTTATGATAAGGATCAATTTTATAAACTAAGTTACACATAAGATATACAAAATGAGCTATTTTGGTTGTTTCAATGTCAGTCAGGAGGATTCATGCTCAAATTTGAAATGGATGGACCATATACCTCACAAAAGAATGCTTCCTATGTTTTGCAAAACCACATGTTGAAAGGTAAATACTATCAGTAATCAAGACAGTTATAGGGAAAATAGTGGAGTGCAAACAAAGAACAGGAAATAATGCATGAAAACCAAAATAAAAAGGATTGACTTGCTAAGTTCTCTTGAGCTCCAAAAGTGGAAGCATAAAAAAATATTGCGCATCCAAAATTGCCAAGGATCGTGAACTATATGGTAAAGAAATAGATGAACCATACCAATGAATCCACCCAATGGACACGAGGTACAAATCCAACCATTGTATCAGGTGCACTTTGCCAAACATCAAATGCAAATTCCACCGAAGAGCAAGGAAATATGACATCATCATCAATAGAAAAGACAGCATCTGTCTCCAAATCCTTAATTTCTTTGAATCTATTGTTCAAACTGTCTTCCTTGTTGATATCAAACTTCAAATTCACTTGTCTTCCATCTTTAGACTTGAACTTAACAACACGGTGCAGAAATTTTGAAAGAATATCTGAAGGAGGATTCGGTTCACTCCACACAATATGTACTGATTCAAGTCGAGGACATGATGAATAATGTTTGATGGACTGCTTTAGGAGATCATATCGCTTCCATGTGTTCATTACTATAGAATACCCTTTCCTGCGAACAACATATAAACCACAATGAGTCCTTTGACACAAGCAACATAAACTCGGTACTCTTTAAGGGAAGAAAATTAGAATGAAAAGGACCAACACCAGACTACCTGCCACACATTTGTGTAACAATAATACATGATAAAGAAGGGGATCCTTAATACTCGAAGGAATTATCTTTACAAAGGATAAATGCAGAGGTAATCACACCAGCAAGCAAGCATAGTGCAATAGCAGAGAGCCAACAAATGCTACAACTGAAAGATTAGAATTGAAAGGGGACCCTGAACATCTAAAAGTAAACAGTTGCTATCATCATTCTCATTTCGAAGTCCAATGCCTAGACCCACTGTACTACACCCAAAGTCAAGACTTAGGCTAATAATCTAAACCCCCAAACCTGAAAGCAGTTTACCTTTTTTCCAATTCCAGATGGTTGGATGATTAGAAAGCTCATCAAGAAATGATGAATCTCAAAGTATTAAACACTTCATCATATAAATCATTATCAACCCAAATTCCGTTGGATGATATAATCACTAGACAATAGTACCAAAGAACATTTCAATCCAGGCAATGGCCACAGCGTAAACAACTAGGACAATAGCATGACATCAGACATTCCCAAACATCATTATCCAAAATTTCCAGCACCAATAGCTAACTCAAGCGTCTGATCTTGTGAAACAATCTATAACACTGATCACCTTAACAGATAATTTCCAAAAACACGGGAGCTAGACATAAAATTATGTTCTCTCTAAAATGAACTATATTAACCTAGCAAATAAAAACCTACGTAATTCTATTCCTTTTTAATTTCTTTATTGTCGGCCTGTACGAAACAAACAAGAAGACGACGAATAGAAACCAAACAGAATCCAAGTTGCAAACACGTATATGGAAATTCCTCTAAGGAACTGGACTAGCGTAGACAAAATCCTTTCCAAAACATAATTTCTTCCCAAAACCGAACCGATCTTAACCATTCCACGGTGCAATGGTCAAAGCAAACCAACATTTTATTTATATTCTTTTTCAATTATGTTAACCTAAAATAGAAACACAAAACCATCAAGTGGAGTACATATTAAGTAATTGAAAATTTTAGAGATTAAAATAATTAATTAATGAAAAGAAACAAGACAGAAGCAGAAAACATTCGCATCGGAGTTAAACGAACCTCGAATCAGGAAAGCGAGGGTAAGGAGGTGCTTGATTGTTCCATAAAACGAAGGAAGAAGCGCTCGTGGAAAACGCGAGAAGCGTAAACGCAACGCAACAACAGAGCAGAAGCTTGATCTTGGCTGATTTAAAGGTGGAGATCGCGATTTGGCGGAACCGCTGCTCTGTCCGACGGTTAAACCAACAGTTCCCTCTCATCACCGCCACAAGAGAGTGGAATGCGCGATGATCCCTCGGAGTAGAACCGGTCCGGTTCAGCAACGAACCATCCCGAGCCGGAGCTTTGGAAACAGAGCAGAAGGTACGAGAGGTTTGCTAACGTGGGAAAGTGAAAGTTAACGCTGCAGCGGACTGATTGTGGTGCTTTGTCGTGGCGTGTATCTGTCTCAGTCTCTCAGATCACATTGACAAGAATAGATGCGAGAAACCAAATGAGAGTGATTCCATTATTTTCCATTGGTTGGGTTCCGACAACGCTTTGGGGCGGGTATCTATCAATCCCTCCATTCACATAAATCAGGTGCTGGGTGCCACGTGGCTTCTTTCCTCGCCGCTTGATTTCTCATATCAGAGTGAGACGATCCCGTCGCCGCTCCTGCTTTTCGAAGAGTTATGCTTCGCTTCACACATTTCGTTCCTATACGCAAGGATGGATCGTCTTCTCAAACCTCATACAATTTCTTTCTTCATTTTGATCATATAAGTCTTATTTTTCTCATTTTATTTTGTTCAAACCTCAAGCTCCTCAGCAACATAAAGTCGTACAGATTTTTTCAAAATAAATTGTCCTTATCACACGTATTATCGCAAAACGCATCGTCCAATACTTAAATTATATTAATCAAATCTATTTTATATTATATTCAATTCATTATATGTATGTATATAGAATTTTTATATCAAAAATATCTTCCTGTACGTTCAATATTTTTTTAACAAAGAAAGAGAAGAAAGATATATAGGAGAGAGAGACAGAGAGAGAGAGAGAGCCGAATAACAAAAAAAAGAAATAGGAAAAACAAATGTCAACTTATGAATCTGGTCAAAGTTTAGTGCTGATATAAATTAGTCAAGAGAAAATTGAATATAAGTTTGCCAAGTGTCTAAAGCCAGGAATTTGCTGATATAGATCAAAGTCTTCCCTCGCCCTTTTTTCTCGCTCTCTTTATAGATATATTATTAAAATAATACTTTTTGAACATTAAAATAAATTAAATGGCACTAAATTAAACGTGAAGACAAATTAATGATGTCATCAACAAAAAAATTCGTAAACTCTGCTTTTATATTCTTTGAAATGCCATTCTCATGCTTTTAACACAATCTTTTCATTTATTTAAATTTATACAGGTAAAACAATTGTTATTGAAAATCATTAAATATTTAAATTTAATTTAATAAATATAAAAGTATATTAAGTATTTTATTTTTTAACAAAAATTAATTTTTTAAGGCCTCCAAATAACTGTCGTTTGAAGCATTAATTTTTGGGGGAGAATTAAAAAATGGAATGAGCAACGAAGAGCGAAGGGTTGAACGAGAGAGGGCTTAGGCATATTGAACCAGCAAGAGGGTACGGTTGGTCGCCACCGTCACTCCGTACCTCAACTTTGACGGCTTCATCGCGCTTAAAACCGCGTCCATTTCCCTCCGATTATTTGTTCACATTAATATTATTTTCTTTTTTTAATTGAACTTGCTGAGTTACGCTTAAAATTCAGTTTCAAATCAAGGTTTAATTTCATTTTTCATTTGGACTTGTCTTTTGTCCACCATCTGATGGACATAATTGCCCTTAACTGTTTTGTAGCTGTGTAAATAGATCCTTTTCCTTCTTGTTCTTTCTAAATATTTTGCAACATCTAAATATATCAGGGCCATTTCAATTTACTTTTCCGTTTGGAGAAAATATGAAAAATAGGAGCTATTTTAGGGAACCTTTATCATATAACATCCTCATTAAATGATTCTGTTTAATTATATAGAAATTTGCTCAGTTAGTAATACTTTCCCTTAATACTTCACTTGTCCAATAAAATACTCTTGTATATAATATATAAATTAATTGATATTAAGAAAATGTGTTTTTTTTTTTTGTTGGGCCGTGGTGGAGCCGACAGGAGAATAACAAGACTTGGCATCCCAACCAAATTTGTCGTTCGGAGCCCAAAAGTAAGCGCGGAACTAGGCTGGTTACATTGTTTCCAATGGTATGACCAAAAAACAATATTCGGTTCCAATAGTGCAAGCCAATTTAGTTTCATTGATTGAGTTTCGTTATTATTGGCTCGTTGATACCGTTAAAAAAATTGAAAATTAAAATTTCTTAATTTTTATTTAAGATTAATTATGCATTAAAATTTATCAAATGACGGTTGTTTTATGCATTAAAAAATGTTATAACTACTTATATATAAAATTTTGATAAATAATTGTGCAACTCAAAATTTAAAAGAATAAAATGAGATTTTTGATGAGTTAATGTTAGACCTAAGTTTGGACATTAATTTAACCTAAGATCATGAATAGTAAACCTTGCATCTTTTAAATCTAACATGTTATTTTTTTTTTCATTAAGTTGCTAAATAAAACACTAATTGAATATTCATATATTAACTAAAAATTGGATTTTAAAAAATACTAAATTTTAAAATCTTCCACAAGACACAGACAGCTTAATTATACTTTTTTTTTTCACGGTAAAAGTATTATTTTGAAAATTGACGTTTACGAAAGATAAAATTATACTTTTGATCTTTTAATTAAACTTTTTTTTAGCTCGAATCCTTTTACATAAAATAAAAATAATTAATTCTCTAACTTAAATGCATTTTGAACATGAAATTTCTTATTAACCACGTTATCAAGTTTTTAATTGGGAAGCAGGAGAAGGATAAAGAAGAGAAAAATAAGCAAAATAAAAGTAATGAACGGTCATGTGTGAATAATATTTAACAGGAGACTGAAAATGTTAATAAGATTTAATATTTTTAATAAAAATATTTTTTTTACGAACAAAATTATATTTTTAAAAATCAGGAAATCAAAGAAAAAAATTAGAAAAATAAAAACATATTTTTACTTTTAAGAATTAATAAGTTGTCTTTGATATCAAAATGTGTGTTAATAGGTTGAAAGAATTTAAGGGTGGCAAGGGAACTAAACAAGTATAAATAGAGGCTGAGATTCTCTGCATTTTTTTATCAATTGCACTCTGTAATTAGTGTTATTTTTGCATTTTTATTTAAACAAAAATTTATCACTTGAACAAAAGTAAAAAAATAATTAACTAGGGGCACATTTACTGCAGAAAATCCTGATCAATCTATATAAATATTAGGTATTTTTGGCAAAATTTTGTTCCGTATTTGTTCATATACTCGCATCAGTATAGTAAATTTTAAAAAATTTATGTTATTGAGAGTATCGACAACAATCTATCAATATTTTTTGAAAAAAAAACAAAGCTTATATATAAAATTATTATTGAAAAATATTAAATTATAATAAAAAACAATATTTTATTTTGTCAGTAACAATACAATATAAACTCAACCACACGTCTAAAAGACACCATAAAATAACAAAGTTAGAATCATTTTTATACATGTAAGAATATTTTAATAATTTTGAAGAAAAATATGAGTTCTGTGCACACAAATACTACAGTACCTGCTCGTTTCATTAATAGATGAACAGATAAAATAAATACGCAAGTGTTTATACATAAAAATATTTTTTACACATAACAAAATTTTACCTATAAATATTAACAAGAACGAATAATTTTGTCATCTTTGCATATTACTTAGTTAAAAAAATTATAAATGTCAAATGAGGTTTTTTTAAGAAATTGCGATTCTAAAGAATTTGAAGTGTATTTTTATTCATGCACGACACTTATTTAAATTCTTTTAGTATGAACTTTAAATGAAAACAACTCTTCTAAAGTCTTTGCATGCATAACTATTTTTAATTTCATTTCCTCCAACTAGTATCTTTAGTTGTTTAAGATGATATATCATTTTTACACCTTCCATTATATTGTAATTCAATTAATAACCGGTATTCTAATTGTATTAGCCGATGAAAACTGAATAAAATACGGTTAAAGATATAAAAACTAAACTAAAAATGGGGGATATATTTAAACATTAAGAATGTGTGTTGTTATTTCAATTATCGAATAAGTGAATAGTTGAAAATGAATTACAATGAATGGTTTTTTTAAATAAAGCTAAACTAAACAAGACACCATAAGTGGGTGGAAAAGTAAATCTTACCCAAATCCAATACCTCCCAAAAAAGAAAGGAAACAAAAACAGAACAAAAGGGAACATATACGAAAACAATTGCTAAAATTCACTCAGCGAATAATCTATCATGGAAAAGACGAAGAGTGGGCCTTTCGGGAAAATGCTACAATGGAAAATAGAGTAAGCCTATGACCTAAGTAACAAAAATAACAAGAAAAATAATAATAGGAATAATAAATTAATAATATTACACCGTCAAGTGCAAGGAAATACTTTTTCTTTTGCTTCCAATCAAAGGTACAGTGATTGAAACCATTAACTAAGCAACTTTAAAATGAACCTAATCCTTTCCTCCCAAATAGATAGAGCTGCACAAAAGTATACTTACCTAGAGCTTTTCTTTCTTTATCCTGAACCCTCGATTCTCGCACAGTTCGTAAGCAGGATTTGGAATTTTATAAAATTGGAATGCAAATTAGCTCACTAATTAAGCATATTAAAATTTTTGACAGGACATACGAGTATGTGGCTTATGAACATGAACCTTGTGGCCCTAATTTCGTTGACGGTCTGGAGCTAATAATTTAACGTGCTTTGAGGATAATAATAATAATATAATGCAGCCCAAGAGGCAGGAGAGAGATAATCTGTGGTATGCTTCTCTTAAAATGAAAAAGACAGCTATTTGTGACCACAGAAATCCATTACTTTGTGAACAACATATTATTGTCAAAATAGTGACACGGTAACCACTTAATACGAGAGGTTTCTAAGATTTCAAATTTAATATATATCGTGATAAATCTCCCCAAGATTATAAATTAATATCTACAGCGTCATCTGGAATCGATCAGATAGGTTAGAAGAAATTTCAAATTAGTTATGTTATTGAAGGGATAAATATACTAATTCATGGCGTATTGATTTAATTACAATTAAATTACAATTAAACAACTAATATATATCACGTAAAGGAAAATAATAAAAGTATAGCTAATATGTTAGTACGCAAGCCTCGTACACGAGTCTTTAGAACCAAAGAGTATTCTTGTTAAATAAATTTTCTATAAGATAATTCACATTAGTTTATAATTGATTTTGAGCTGATTCAACTGGCACTCCACCCAATTCGCTGCTTAAATGATTTTGAGCTAACATGATTTTTTTTTCTGTCAATGATTAAAAAAGCTGAGCAATTTAAGACTTGGGGTGTGTTTGGCTTGATTTTTTTTTTTATTTTTTCCTTTCAAAAGTAAAATATTTTCGAATTAATATTTTTTATAGAAAAACAATTTTTTAACAATTTTTTCTGACATTTTATTTTAAGAAACAAAGAAAATAAGAAAATGAACTAAATGTTTTTTTTTCCAACAGTTGTGACAATCGTTTGATATTATTCTTAATCGATAGGAATTTTGTTATCAATACTAGTATTAGTATAAATTACAAAATGGTAGTTAATTATCAATCGTTTGACCACAATATTGCCAATAACAATCATATATCACGTGACTTTCATTTCAAATATAATGAAAAAAGTTTCCCCCTCGGTAAATACATGTATAAAACTTCCAAACAGTAACTGATAAGAAAAATTATTCTTCACTTGAAAACATCATAGTGAATTCAACGAATAATATGATCACTGATTAAACCTAAAAGAGTTATTATATTCATATAATTAAATTATATAACATTTTTTTTTTGTTTTTTCTATTGTATCACACATCTTATCTCATATATATTTTTTATCTCCTTGTCTATCTTATTTAGGAAAATAAAATGTATAAAAATGATGCATGAATATAATTTCCCAACATTAAAATTAATATAGCTTTGTTTTCCCCCTTTTATTTCAGGTTAAAATAAAATGTCCCAAAATCAATGAGAAGAAACCGAACTTTAACGAGGAAATGAACATTATACGAATAGCCAAAAGATGTACCAGACCTACACATTCTTAATTCGAAGCCACGAGACAGAGAAACAAAGGGAAGAAGAGGGCCCTGACACCCAAAATCTGTCTGGAGCTGATGCGTCCCTAACCTGTGGCTTTTGCCAGAGTAGAATGACAAATAAAAATTCCAAAAGATTCCAAAATTTGTTGCTCACAATTCAAAAATCAAATTGATCAAGAACCGTTCCTTTTATTAATGTTATCTTGACAAGTCATTGAGACTAATCAAGGTACTAAACTAATGCATATTAGGTAATGCGAATAATATAATAACGCTCTCAGAGCATTAATATTGTTTATTTTGCTTTTTTACTAACGACTTTTGTATCTCTACGCTAAAGAAATTTGAGCTGCCATTATCCAACTTAAAAAATAAATAAAAGCTACAGTTATAATAATGGCCTCTTATCAGTATGCAGACTTGATCATTGTCTCATCCACGAAATAGAAACAAAATATACAAAAAGAGAGGAAAATGAGTATATGTACATTTAATAATGGACACGAGATTAGTTAATTGCTGACAGCCATGTGCCGACCATGTTTTTATAAATGGAATGAAAAGAAAGAAAAGTTCGAAAACAATAACGTACACAAGAACCTTGTTCATCTTCACCCGTTATTTTAGCTGAAAAAAAAAAACCTCGTTTATCCAATCATTGCATCATATGTTTCTAATCTTCAGTCTCTTGTCAATTCACCATGCTTCGTATTAACATTGGAAATTACAATGCCAACAACTCTTTTTGAGTTAAATTTTAGGAAACCTATACAGTTAACTTGAATTTATGTTCTATTACCTTTAATATTTCAAAATGACAGTTTATTATATGTATATTAAAAATTATTATTTTACATTTAGAAATGAGTGCGCCACAAAAGTTTTGGATTAGAATTCATCCCTTTTAAATTTAACTTTTTGTTTAAAATTAGAATCGTACTTGGACATCAATTCTATATAATTACAAAATAATTAGCTTGAAGTATTTGAGTATACAACCAGTAAAGATCACTCTTGTCCCCTCTACACTTCGATTGTCACGTATACCTTTACTATTTACCGCCCTAATATTTACTACAAGATAATAAAATTAACATTTAAATTAAAATCCTGATTTATATCCATTGCTTTATACAGTCTAAAATGTTTTACTTAGACATTTAAAAAATAAAAATCAAATTCCATGAAAGTATAATTAAATTTTGTGATATAAACATTGATTAAGTTGGTTAGATTGAGGAAAATTCTAAAAAAAGCACAAGAAAAGAGGGGAAAACTGTTGACACCTGGTGACGAGCAGCAGAGTGGTAGTAGGAAACTAGCAGCAGGAGCATTTGCGTGTTGGTTTCTAATTCTCGAATGGACCATGCACTATGCAATGCACAAAGTCACAGGAGTGACACGTGTAACTTGGGAAGCGCGAGTTGAAGGGATTTTTGAAAGAGCATGACAACGTGCACCGCCCAGCAGCAAGGCGATAGAAAGAGCACGTGGAATTTGGTCCCTGCAACCGTTAATCCAATTTACCCTTCTCTGATGGAAACTACAGTAATCCACGTTCCAGTGCTGCGCGGAACATGGTCGGTCTCGCTAGGAGTGGTTGGAATCACGCCAGCTAGGACCGACCTCCCTATTCATGATTGGTCCCTATCAACAAAACATTAAAAAAAATCAACAAATTACGCAGAACGGGACCCACCACACCTCACCCTCACTTCCATTAACTCCAACTCATTCTGATTATAAATCCGCATCTTCGTCCTTACTCACTCACTCATTCATTCACCTCACTGACACGAGAGAGAGAGAGAGAGAGAGAGAGAGAGAGAACAGAACCCGAGACATGGAGGGGAAGGAGCAAGATGTTTCGTTGGGAGCCAACAAGTTCCCGGAGAGGCAGCCGATTGGAACGGCGGCGCAGAGCCAAGACGAGGGGAAGGACTACCAAGAACCACCACCCGCGCCGCTGTTTGAGCCGTCCGAGCTGACATCATGGTCGTTCTACAGAGCTGGGATAGCAGAGTTCGTGGCCACTTTTCTGTTCCTTTACATCACCATCTTGACCGTTATGGGCGTCAGCAGGTCCCCATCCAAGTGCCAATCTGTTGGTATTCAAGGAATCGCTTGGGCTTTCGGTGGCATGATCTTCGCCCTTGTTTACTGCACCGCTGGCATCTCAGGTCCCTCTCTGTTCCTAATTTTTTTCTCCAAAAGAAAAAAACACCAAAATTACTGAAATTGAAACAACTTGTGTGTTTGTGTTTGTGATGCAGGAGGTCACATAAACCCGGCGGTGACGTTCGGGCTGTTCTTGGCGAGGAAATTGTCGTTGACTAGAGCGCTGTTCTACATGGTGATGCAGGTGTTGGGTGCTATCTGTGGCGCTGGTGTGGTGAAGGGTTTCGAGGGAAAAACTAGGTACGGTTTGAACAATGGTGGTGCCAACTTTGTTAACCCTGGTTATACCAAAGGTGATGGCCTTGGTGCTGAGATTGTTGGTACCTTTATTCTTGTCTACACCGTCTTCTCCGCCACAGATGCCAAGCGTAACGCCAGAGACTCTCACGTCCCTGTAAGTTCCCCCTTCCTCTTTTTGCTTTTCTTTTACATATCGAGAATTAGAATATTAGATCATTTCTATCATAAATTAAAATTTTTACTACATATACTTGTTACTAACAAATTTGAAAAGTTAAATTCGAATGTTTCATGAACTTAGTAATGGTGTGATTTGTTTGCATGAGTAGATTTTGGCACCCTTGCCTATTGGGTTCGCTGTGTTCTTGGTGCACTTGGCTACCATCCCTATCACCGGAACTGGTATCAACCCTGCTCGCAGTCTTGGCGCCGCTATCATCTTCAACAAACACCTCGGTTGGCATGAACACGTACGTAAAAAATTATTAATTAATTCCCCTTTTACAATATTTTGTTTATTTTTCTTTGTTATGTCGCTGGTCTTATCTTCTATTTTTATTGTATTATAAATTCGTTATATAAATAGGATTACTCTCTACAAAATAGAATAATTGTCTGATTGTAGAATTTTCGGGAGAGTGAGCCAGAACCGTGTGATTCTGATGCTAATTGAATATCATTATTTGTGCAGTGGATCTTCTGGGTGGGACCATTCATTGGCGCTGCTCTTGCGGCTCTCTACCATCAAGTTGTGATCCGTGCCATTCCCTTCAAGTCCAAGTGATCGAATCAAACGGTTCGTGATCAATCAAGTTGGAGGGAAGCAAAACAAAAGAACAAAACAAAACCAAGCCATGTTTGTGGGTTTCATTTCATCATCATGATCTGTTTATCTTTTCGGGTTTTTTTCTCCTTTTTTATTTTTAAAGTAATGTATGTAAAGGTGGATGTAAAATTATGATGATTATTAGGTGGTGCATGTGTCGCGTCATGGGCATAGTTATCCTCTACTTTTAAGTTGGAACAGGGCCCAGCTCATGTGTGATGTACGGCTGTGATTGTGTATTTTGCCAAATCAAAAATAACACCCGAGTCATTTATGCATCTTTTTTATTTATACAATTATCTTTGGATCCCATTCTGTCCTCACTGGAATTTTTGTCCTCTTCCCCAGAGGATATACCAAGGTTCGGTTTCTTTATCCACGCCTGTGCTCGTTATCCCTTGTTATGGATATTGAAATCCGGGTAGTAGTGACCTTGAGACTTGAAAAGAGTGGGGTTGGGTGGGTGGGTAGTGATGTTTACCTAACCTGGGACCACATCCTTCTTCAATAATGCACATCCTCTAGCGTTGTCCATTTAACAATGATTTGTGATCATAGCTTCGAGAAAAACCATACACTATTTTATAAATTTGTCCTTAATTAATATAATGAGGATAAGCTTCATTTTGTATATGGATTGAAGTTTCCTTCTAATTATTTACTTCCTTAGAATCCTTCAATAACAGAGACGGCACTCGTGGGGTGGGTAATTAAGGAGAAAGTCTTAGCAACTTGACATGTATACCCTCGTTCCTGATTTTTTTTCCCCTAGTGAATTTTCAAATTTTAAAGTTTATCAGATGCCAACTAATATAAGTGATTTATGCTTTGCCAAATAAACGTGACTCGTCAGTGATGTTTTTGTGCCATTGATACTGTCAAATTCAAAAGCAAACATGCGTTAAAGAGTTGTGCCATTGGATCGTAATTTTTCCCACAAGTTAAATTTCAGCTAAGATCTAATGATACGCGTTAATAGTTTATTGTGAAGCATTCTTTAAATTTGACCAAAAAAACATTCTTTAAATAATGCACATTAGAATTAGCGTAAACAAAAGGGACCCAAACCATTGTCTAATCCTTAAAACCAATGCTCAGTTTGGTGGGAGAGAAATGTAGGGAATAGAAGTGACAATCGACGACCAAAAATTTGGAAAAGAAGTGACACAATCTAACCGCTTTCACTAAGAAAAAGGCATAAGGTCCATATATTAAAACAACACGCATAATTAGAACTACTGTGTTCTTTGCGCTTCGCATGTAAATCGACTGAATACCAATTTAACTTTGGAAAACATAAGACTGTCATAGGACTAAGCTCTATATATTAGAATATATCTTATCATCCGTTCTTTTCTTGTATAATTGATAGTTTGTTTTTAATAAATTATTTACATTCATCAGTAGCCCACTTTAAGTTTTTTTCAATCAATGCATAAACTTAAGTATTTGATTTAATTTATTTTAATTTTTACTTGAAATTTTTAAAAAATAAGCAATTATTTCTAAAAAATAATCCATAACAAACATGTATTCAATATGTTAGCAAATGTCATAAAATAAATAATGACGAGTCATTAGACACCAGCTAGAATAATTTTCTAAATTTAGTAATTACATCAATAAAGCCTTTATCTCCATGGATCACAAAATATTAATTTTAATTATCAGATATAAATGATTTTTTCATTAATATTAATAATTTCCACAAGAGTATTGGAACAATGTTAAAAGTAAAAATAAAAAATATATTAGAAGTCATGGTAAAATTATATTAATAATATTTAAGGATATTAGTTAGCATTTATTTATAGACATATATTAACACAACATAGAGGAAAGAAGAAGAAAGCTGACTCCAGTGGACTAAATCTCAAATAGCTTTGAAATAAGTAGTAATTCAAGCTTTTTAAATACAATTTCTCATCCCCAAAATAACACTGCAACTAGAAAGAGGATAAGATGTATTCTCCCAGTAGGAAATTCAACACCCACCTCACTCCTCACTCCTCACTCCTCGTTCCAACCTCTTTTCGCAGCTGTCTTCTTTTGTTTTCTAGTTTCTTTAGCTTATGTTGATGTTTGTGCAGTCTGGATTTTGTTCCCTTGTGTGTCTTTCAGATTTAACTGTTTTCCTCCAAGAACCATCAAACCTTATTTCCTGTATTCTTTTGTCATTATTCTGTTTCGTCGTATTGCAAGAATGATTATACCTGGTTTTGCTCATAACAATTAAAGTAGCATAGGTGCCACCTCACATATTTGCACATAACCCAAAATCTGGAAGTGGTAACAAGTTGGTTTAATATATTGATATAGGGAATGGTTCATTTTCACATTCCAAGGTGGTGATCAGTTGTTATAATTGAAAACTTGTGTAAAGTATGAATAAGGTATAACTACTTGATTCCGGGTAGAAAATTATACACAATTTGTTAAGGCAGGCTTTATAATTGCTTATTTGAATAACTTGATTTATTTGGATACTCTGATTTTAATAAAAAGTGCAAGATAGTGATGATCACGTGTTATGAAAGAGACAAATACAAATTGTATTTATGCCTAAGACGACGAACCCGTCTACATATAACAATGACTATATATATATTTGCATAAAAAATGTTTTGTTTCTAATAAGATGATGACATGGCATTGTCCTGTTGTCAAGAAAAAAAATTACATATATAAATTCTTGTCGATGGTAAAATATATAATTTCCTTTTTCTTACGAGATATACTAAAGCTGCTCTTCTTTTGGTTTGTTTGTACGTATGAAGTCTAATGCTAACACCATAACTTTCATGTTTAAACACGGTTTTATTAAATTTCTAAACACACCTAATCTAGAAAATGCGATTGCTTTCAGCCTCTAAATTCTCATGGAATAGATCTTTTCCTGTTAGATTGATTATCACGTTAATTTTATGTGCAAAATTAAGTGTTTATATTTATTTACAGATATCAAATACTGTTCCTATAAATAAATAAATTATTATAAATTAGATAAAAAAAATTTTCTTCATATTATTAGTTTCGTTTATTTGTTAATTTTACTATTTTTTAATTTCTCACGTATAGTATTCACATATCACTTTTAATATTTTTATGTTATAAAAATTTCATGTTAGTAATTTGACTAAAAAAAAATTGTTAGATTCAGAGACAATCTATATTGATATGATATGTCATATATAAAAAAAAAAGCTTGAATCAATTATGATTGTAATTATCTTAAATTTAATTTATTTAAAACATATATTTAAATTATTATATACTATTATCTAAAATATATTAATATTTAAATTTTGAATTAAATTAAATTTTATTTTATATTTGAAGTGATTTTGTGATGTTTATTCTAAATTTTTGCCAGAAATTCTGTTTTTGCCCCTTGCCAACAATTGACATAGTTTTTCACCGTTAATAATCTGTTTTGGATTTCCTAGGTTATTATTTATCATATTTATTTTTATTCGTATTTTAAATATTTATTAACTTTAATCTCATTCTTTATTTTTATCACATGTATTATATATATATATATATACACACACACACACAGAAAATGCAAAATTATGTTTTTCTTAAAAGACTACATCAGCAGTAGGAACTAGATTGAAAATTCTAAAAAAATATAGAGACGAAAATAATAAAATAAATTTATTCAAAAAGACTTATAAAAAATAACTTGTAGAAAAAAACAAAAAATCAACTAAAATATAAAAACTAAAAATATATTTACTTTATTTGAACTCTACGCCTCCTACTGATTCTTTCCAACAAAAACTGTTTGTTGGTCCAGTATAAGGGTGGGATATTTCTTTTAACAAAATGAAAACTTAAAAATCCTTGACCCTACAAAAAAACAAAAAAACACAAACAATTGAGAGTGCATCTTTGGACCTAATTTGGCCCATGGCCAAGATCCAGCGTTGATGACCCATTGGAATGGATCCTCGGAGCTCTCTGACTCTTACTCACACACGCCGTGCTTGGTTGTCGCTGAATGTAAGCTCCTAGCATGGCGGCGAGGGAACGGACAGTGTTACAGTTATCATCTTCGCAGAGTTTCAGAGCGAAGGTGCATCCTCTCGTTGTCTTCAACATCTGCGATTGCTATGTTCGACGCCCGACCAAGCGGAGCGCGTCATCGGAACACTCCTCGGCTCCGTTCTTCCCGACGGAACGGTCGTTGTTCGTAGTTCCTACGCTGTTTCGCACAGCGAGTCTGTCGACCAGGTCATGCATCTCCTTAGGTTTATTTTTATGTTAATTATTTTTTAAATTCTGGATTTGTTTCTACGATTTTATGAATGATTTTTGCTTGTACAAGCCCATTCATTATTTGAAACTAAACTAGAACTCGACTTATTCTATTTTTGGAGTTTGCTTAAGACTTCTATTGCTGGTACTTTGTTGTGGCATCCATTGCTTCTGAAAATCAACTGAATTACATTCTTCTTCTGTAACTTTCTAAAATGGGAAAAATCTGATATAATTTTCACTTTTTTTTACAGGTTGCTTTGGATATTGAGTATCACCAGAGTATGTTAATATCCCACAAGAAAGTGAATCCAAAGGAAGTTATAGTTGGATGGTTAGTCCAGTTATTTCAAACTTCATTTTTTGTTATTCTCTTTTTGAAGTTTTAATTTAGTTAGTATTTCAAAGTTCTATATATTTTATTCACAATGGTGTGTCAATATAATATTTCCCATGGGTGCTCTTGTTTGTTAAGCATGATGCGTTTGTGTGAAGTGGGATTCTAGAACATTTCCTCAATGCATGGGTTCAGGGTGTCCTAGCGGTTTTAGCTAATAATTTTGTTCATTGGAATTCACCAATTGATATGCCAAGGGACTGAGAGCTCATTTAATCTGATATAATTTTTCCTCTCTTTCTTTTTTACTTTTATGTTCTTTGGAGGGTGTCCCATATTCAGTTTCTGTATCTCCGTTTTGTGCAAAATAGGCAAGGCTAACTTTGTTTACTGCATGTGCATGCAGGTATTCAACTGGTCATGGAATAACTGGTGGTAGTGCATTAATCCATGAATTTTATTCTAGAGAAGTACCCAGTCCCCTATACATTTGACTGTTAATACAGGATTCACAAAAGGAGAGGGTACCATAAAAGCCTATGTTTCAAAAAATTTATCTCTTGGAGATCGTCAAATTGCTGCACAGTTTCAAGAAATTCCTTTGGACCTTTGTATAGTTGAAGCTGAGCGCATTGGATGTATGTATTATTGGAGTTCATCTTTATTATATTTCAGTTT